GCCCACCAAATTACTATTTCTCGCCGAGAAAAGACTAATTATTTTTATTTGCCGGAAGTTAATATTCCTCCGATTAAATTAAAAACTAGTGAAATCCAAAAAATAAAAAAAAATCTCCCCCCCCTTACTCTGAATATACTGAGAAAAAGTTAAAAAAACAGACCTCAACACTGCCAATATCCTTATCAAAAACCCTTTTTTGCTAAAAATATTCAATTTTTTAGCCCAGAAAAAAAAATTAGAAAATAAAGAAATTAAAAATTGAACGGTTTTTTATTTAAATTACCTATCTCCACGGTTTGCCGCCAGTGATATGGACTTGTTTACGAAAAAATGACAATCTTATTATAGTCTTTTTGAATACTGAAAAGAAAAAAAATTAGAAAATAAAGAAATAACCGAAATTATTCGTTCTCTGTTGGAAACCAAAAAAACTTTTTTTTTCTTAGTGAAAAAATATGAGAAAAAAGTCAGCATTAATGAAAATTTAGTGGAGCAAGAGCTAAAAAAAATGTGGAATGATAAATTAGCCGCAAAACTTACTATTGACCAGCAAAAAGTCCAAAATTACCTGCTGGGGCAAGTAAAAAAAAAGTTCCCTGACTATCCGGTAAAAGAAGTTATTTTGCTTATCACTAATTTTCTGGAAAAGGAACTTACAGCACAGCAAAAAAACAAGGGCTAAAATATTATTAGTGAAGTTGAAAAAACGAGCAAAAAAGAAATGAAGAAGCAAGAAAGTGAAAGCGGCGGTGGCAAAAAGATGAAAGGGGGGAATTGAATGGCAATACGATGGAGAAAATTTTTCTTATTTGGGCAATAGTGATAAAGCTCCTTCCTGAATAGTCGAAGATTTTTTAGCGAAAAAAACCAGCAAGCAGAGAAAAATAACTACCAAAACCAGACCAATAAAAATAATAGGAAAATATTGTAGCACCCCAATTACTAAAAGATTTAATTAGAATATAAAAATTGGTAATGTCATATGCTAATTTTGGTGTAAAATTCTATATAATTGCCTAAAATATAACGGTGGATACCGCGAGCCGTGACCACATAACGACTAACGGCCATTCGCTCTTTGGCTCACAGGTCATCTAAATCTATCGCGATAAAGTAATAATGCTGACTAATCTTTTTGCCAGTTCTGAGGGAATATTCTTGATTGGTGGCTAATAGTTCTTCTCGACTTCTTCTTTCCAAGTAGTAAGACTTACCATAATTATTTCAGTTCTTTACTAAGGGCTTCTTATATTTGGTGGGGAGGAGAATGTAATTCTTGGCGAAGTGTTTTAAGTATTTTTCTTCGGTGGGT